TTTAGTTTTAAAAGAAACCTGTTTAATAAAATATGAGTTTGCTATAATGTTACCTTAAAATAATAAACGTTTTTATTTTATCACTTATGACGCTATTGTGTAGTTTTATTTGGCAGCTAACTAAATGGTAAAAGTAAGCTACTATATGGTTTTCCTGAAAAAGACCTTATAGGGGGCCCTTTTCAAAGTATCTCCCGGTAGAAATTTGCAAACCAGTCCGGCCCTGAATGTTTCAATTCCTAATTGTGAGCGTGGTTGCGAACTGATGGAGAAGCTGGTAAAACATTTCTTTGTTGTACGTATGTATTGTGTAAAGAACTACTCTAAAAGTTCCAAAATGCGAAAAGTGAGAGTATATGGTTCTTCGACAGAAAAAGAAACCAGATTGTAAATTGTAATTAGTTCCGAACTTTGTACCTATTTCTAAATGTATGTAAATTTTGAATGTTTTTCATATAAACCTTTTTACCTCTTTTCACTCATTAAAATAAAAACACTTAATTTAAAAATTGGGCTGAAATATAAAAGCAAAGAACTGTATTAATTTTTGTTTTTGCGGCATTTTCCTTGGGTAGCAAGTCGACACTTGTACGAACTTATTTGAATACATAAGCAGCTGACAGCGTTACTCGCTCCATACGTTGGGTCCAAAATGGCCGTCGAGCATACCTAACTTTTTAGAGCTCTAGTAGTATCAACAATTTTAGAATCGCTTTTACGTGCATGAAATTACTTACTTTCAATTGCAGCTATAAAACCACGTTTTTTTTATAGTACCCCACCAAGTACCTACCCATAGTTGCAATCTTCAAAACTTGAATCAAATAAACATTAACACAAGAAAATTATCCGAAAATAAACCCACCACAACCTATATACGTTACAAATCTTAGTTCTATATTCAGTTGTCATAAAGTAGAAAACATCTACTGTACAGGAATGTAAGGTTTAACACTTTGAAGTAAATACTGGAAAGTTAAGAACCGATAAATTATTAAAAAATTTGATGAAGATCGCTATTAATATACTTTAAGATCTCTATTCTTTCGCATTCCTTTAATGTAACATGATCAAATTTACCACATTTCAGTCTTTTCTCCTAAACTGCTTAACGACCTAACGTTTTTAGTTACAGTAATATACAACTTTTTTAAATCATCTCTAGATTCCTTTAATAAATTTTTTAATTTTAGTGTAGATTGAATGTGACCAAATATTAATTGTAATTTATTCTCGTAATGATCAACTAAAGTTTCCCAAGCAACTGAATACCCTGCATCCGAAGTTTTGATTCCCTTTAATATTTCTGCGGCTTCGGCTGTACAAGATGTTTTTAAAAAATATCATTTGAAAATTGTTTAAGGCATTATCTGAATCAATAAGATCTAAAAAAGAGTCACGAAACTCCAACCAATTTTCCGGGTTTCCGTCAAAATTTACTAATTTAATTGAAGGACGTTTGATCTTTGTGTAATTATTTACTGAGTTACCGTGGTGACGATTCGGAATTGGTATCGCTACAACTTCATTTAATTAACGTTCCTGTACAGAAGAAATACTACTTAATTCCTCATATTCATTATCGTAATTATTCACATTCGATTCTACTGTGGTAAATAGACAATAATGTTCATAGATTAACAAACCTCTAACTTGCATTTATACTTTATATTTACACAATCAAAAGGAAATGTATTTTTCTGTAATTGTTAACAAGTAAGTATTGAGGAGTATGAATTAGATTGTCATAAGGTAACGACCAAGACTAAGCTGCGTAAGCAGCGTTTATTCAACTTTAATTAAATAAATATAGTTTAGGAGATGTGACTTTTATTGTTGGGTATCTCCCAACATCACATGGCGATCCTGCCACTGCCACCCAAAACGATGCTGTCACCCAAAACGAATCCTGCCACCTAAAACGAAGCTCCTAAGCAGTTAAAAATATTTTAGATAAATTAAGTTAAATAGTGCGTAAAGTGAACGATGTGCAACTCCCAAGTCAACAGGAGAAGAGAGGAAATAATTATCGAAGCCGCTGGATTGGGAAATAATGATCTGAAGAAGAGCGAAATCGACAAAGGTTTAGGTACCAGCGAGTGGCTATTAATAGCATTACTAATAATTGTATGTTTGGTAATTGGATACCAAATAATTCAGAAGTGGAAGAATTACGTAAGGAATAATATGCAGCGAGAAATTCAAATGCACGAGTTGAGAAGATCACAAGGACGGTTAGATGAAGGTAATTGATCCCGGATTCCCACCCCGGCCCATCCATACCATCGAGGACCACGAAAAAGGAGCACCGCTAAGTGATTCGCGAACGCGTGTGTGTGAAAATAAGTGTAGAAAATAAAAATAATGCGGAGATGCGAGAAAGATGACTTTAGAGAGAGCAGTAGAATCCTTTGGAACTGAAGTGAAACATTTTTTAGGTAATTTACATAAGGACAATGAGGCTCGCAGGAAGGATCTCGCCGTTATTAACAGTAAGTTAGAAAAATTAAGTACTTTTAATGTTAATTATGATACTATTTTATGCGAAGTCAATAAGTTAGAGGATGAAAGCACTGCATTATATATAGGGAACATTTATTTGTCATAAAAAATAAACTTGAGGCATGTAATAATATTTTAGTTCAACGTCAACATCAAATTCAAAGTAGGAGTAATACTATAATATGCGGGCCTTCTTTAAAAGACATTGTGGGATACTATGTTATAGTTGATAATGTAGTGTACAAATTAACTTCCATATGTGAGGCAATTGATGTATGCTTTAAAATTTTCATTATCCTTAACGCCAAGTACCTACCCACTGGAAGCAGCCGCTGTGTGGTATTTTGTTCAAAGGGGCTTTTATCGTATGAAAACTGTTTACGATAAAGGTTACACTGCGGTTAATACTCTGTTATCAGAAGTAGGTATGCCTTGCTTAGATAATCAGCAAGTATAGGTAGTAATAATACACGTACAACCATACATATATATTCATACCAACAATACCAACTTGTTTTTTATGTCTTAGAAATTTTCCACTCCCTTCTTCACTTTTAAAACATTTTGATTTACAACATACTAACCACATGTTCACTTCGTATTCATGTATTGACGATGGGTGCGATAGAAACTTCCAATTAAGAAATTCATTCAGAAAGCACATTTTAAGGCATATTCGGCCCATTTCACAATCGAAACAAGATAACCCTATTGTTCAAAATGACAATCATACTACCTCGTCTTCAAATTCAATTGATATTGTTACCGATCCTGAAACTCCATCTCTCTCTCTCGTTTCATCAATACAAGACAGTAAAAAAGATATTAGTCATTATTCCGCTTCTTTTGTAGCATCACTTTATGGAAATCCTATGGTACCTAGAAAATTAGTTCAATCAGTTGTAGATGGAGTTACCACTTTACTAAATGCCAGTGTTTCATCTTCAGTACAAGATATATTAAGAAGCATTGAAGCTGAGGGTGCAGTACCTTCTAATGTCATAAGTACTATTAACACTCAAATCTTGAAAGTTATCGAATCACCGTTCAATGGGTTAGAAACTGAACATAAACGGTTAAATTTTTTCGCGTCAGTGGGGTCATACATTGCACCACAGGAAATAGTCATTGGTGAGCGGTTAAACGAAAGTAGAAGGCGTGGAGTTCTTTCTTTAAAACCTGTTACATGCACTGAGCAGTTTATACCTCTTCGAAAAGTTCTGAAGCAATTTTTCACAATTGAAAATATTTTTGTTGAAACTCTAAGGTATATGGAATACTTGTCTGCAAATAATGCAGTTGTAGAAAATTTTATTCAAGGTGCATTTTGGCAAAGCAAGAAGAACAAACATGTAGGCAAAATTGTTTTGCCTTTATTCCTGTTTTTTGACGATTACGAAAGCGGTAATGTTTTAGGAAGTCATTCCGGATTGCATAAATTAGGTGCAGTATATACATGTGTAGGTTGTTTGCCACGACAGTACTCATCTTCATTAAATAGCATTTTTCTAAGTTTGCTATTTCATTCGTCAGATCGAGTTCATGTTGGAAATTCCATTATTTTTCACCCATTAATTGAAGAGCTAAATTTTCTACAGAACACGGGTGTTGAGTTGCATATCCTAGAATTCCATGGAAGAGTATACTTTGAATTGGGTCTGATTTTGGGAGGTAATTTAGGATTAAACTCAATTACTGGCTTCGTTGAAAGTTTTTCGGGCATATCTTCATGCCGTACTGTAATATTAAGAAAGATCAACTTGGTTTTCAATGTTTTGAGGATGCACTTCTTCTTAGAAACGCTGAACAGTACGAAGAATTATTGAGGAGTTCTGAAAGCTCTTCTAGTAGCGGTATAAAAGAGAGATGTGTATGGCTTAAAGTAGATGGTTTTTCCCTTTTTGATCAAGTGGGAGTTGACTTAATGCACGACATTTTAGAAGGTTGTGCTAAGTATATTTTTTCTTTTGTTATTATTCATTATGTAAAAACTTTACAATTGTTTTCCTTAGATGTTCTCAATCAGAGAATATTTGCATTTGATTACGGCCCTGATCAGAGTAGTAAACCATGCGCACTAAACATGGATCATCTGAAGCAGAATAATGTCCGCCTTTCTGCCTCAGAAATGTTATCATTCACTAGATATTTTGGTATACTGATTGGAGACTTTGTGCCAACTCACGAACCTACGTGGAAACTTTATATAACTCTGCGTCAGGTGTTAGATATACAGGGTGATTCCTATAGTACCTGCCACCGTTTGGGAGCGTATAGGGGGTGCCTAGGGGAGTATTTTGATATAGGACACTTGGGGTCGGAAATCTAAAATAAGGGCGCCAGAACCAAATTTATCTTCTGGAATTTCACGCCTGTATGTAGGCAACCCAACCGACCGACGTTTCGCGCGGAGCGATGCAGAGCATGTAAAAACTTTACAATTGTTTTCCTTAGATGTTCTCAATCAGAGAATATTTGCATTTGATTACGGCCCTGATCAGAGTAGTAAACCATGCGCACTAAACATGGATCATCTGAAGCAGAATAATGTCCGCCTTTCTGCCTCAGAAATGTTATCATTCACTAGATATTTTGGTATACTGATTGGAGACTTTGTGCCAACTCACGAACCTACGTGGAAACTTTATATAACTCTGCGTCAGGTGTTAGATATATGTATTGTTGTCAAATGCAATTGAGGAAGGCGCCCCCAATTTATTGAAAACTTTGGTTGCTGAATTAAATCAGCTTTACCAAGATCTAAGTAAGAATCGATTAAAACCAAAATTTCATTTTTTAACTCATTACCCCTCGATATTGACAAAATTTGGTCCTGTTTCCCACTTTTGGTCAATGAGGTTCGAAGCCAAACATCGGACATCCAAAATTGCCGTTAGAGCTTCGTTTAATAGATGCAATATTACAAAAACTTTGGCAATCAAGCACCAATTACAACTAAATGAACTGTTTATGAATGGCAAATGGAAACCTACAGTTGAAGTGGGGCCTTGTAATGCAGTTTGTTCAGAAAAAATGAGAGAAATACAACTTGCATTGAATATTGCTTCCAATCAATCCATTTTTCAAACGTCATGGGCCATTTGTAAGGGAATTAAATATGCCAAAAACGTTATCGTCACAGTTGATGTAACGGAGGAAGATGGACTTAAATTTGGCAAGCTGGAAAGTATTTATCTATTGGGAAGTGATAAAATAATTTTTCAATTTTCATTTCTTAACAACATTTTTGTTTTGACGAGCACGTATATGCATACGAAGTGGAACTTGCCAAAAATGACAATTTTATTTTTCAACACAAACTTATAAGCTTTATTCCAAATAATATGAATGTGACTTCCAGTGGGCGAAGGTATGTAACTGTTAGAGATCCTTTATAATGCTTATTTATTCAATATCTATTTGTTTGGTTTTTAAATTGATGCGAATATTTTTGAAAAATAGAGGAGAGGGGACAATTTTTACTAAAAGACTTTCCTCCAAATTGTTTCCCATCAGTCTAGAAACATCCGTGGTATATGTTTTTTTTATATGTATAATATGGCTTATAATAGGTTAATTTATATTTTTATTTAATATTTTATGTTGTATTGTTTCTAGTATTTCATCAGAAAAATGGCTTACTTATCTAAATCTTTATGTATTATCGCGGGTGACCTGGCAATACCTCCTATCTGCCATTTTTTGTGAAAATGAGATATTGGTAGATTCATAATCGGCGCGTACTAATGCACCTATCTGTAACTTCTCCTTTCGTTAAATAAAGTTCGAAATGGCTGAAAAGTTGTATTTCAATTTCTCCCACTGAAATCTTAATGATTTTTGTCATGCAAAATCTCCTAAATCAACAGTTTATTAGGTGATGTCATAAGAGGATTGTACCTCCGTTCAAGTGTAGTGTGTTTAACGTCGAAAACTGGTTCTCGTTGGTAGGTGTTTTGCTTTTTGTTTCTATAATCCACTATTTGAATATTAAAAGATGAATTTGTGTACATTAAACGACTAAACCATAAAATTTACGTTAAAAATAACCTCAATTTATTTTCGTTTTCAGATAGGAGGTATTGCATTATACTGAAAGTACCTGGATAATTTTAATAGGAGAAAATAGCACATCGATTTTTTGTTGGATCCCCATTTAGAAGGTAAAATTTTTTGACTATCTCTTCAATCTATTTACTTTACATCCGTCATAGGCTGCCAAAGGTTTTCCGGACTCAAAATAGTCATGTTTTCAAGGCGCACTGAAAAAATTCTGTCATTGGCCCAATCGCAAATCGATGTTGTCGACTCAAGCAAAACTGAAGAGAAAGAATGTTTCGATTTAGAAAATGCATCTTTCATATTTTTAGACGACAACGTGGTCGTAGAAAGCAACATCGCTTTTCCCATTCATCCTGATGAAGTAGTACCTAACTTTGAAGACTGTTTAACTGATATAACCAATACTACTTCCACTACTTGTGATATAGGAGTTCCAAACCAAGTCGAATATAAGCAAACAGATCGTCTTGTTCCTTACGAAGATTCGAGTGATGAAGATCATGTCATAGAAAACATTGCAAATGAAGTTGAGAAAACTGTAGAAGACGACCATGAATCAAATGATGTGCAAGATAGTAGTACTTCATATGAACCCGAAAAAGATGATGCCAATAAATTAGAAGAAACTGTCATAAATGAAACAGAAGAAGTGAACGAAAATGAATATGATCAAGGTAGAAAACGAAGGCGTAAGGCGGAAAAAGAAGAATGGGTCCGAAATAAAAACAAAAGACTTCGAATGCAGGGAAACTGTTCAATACTGGGTAGATAATAGTTCATATGGTATGACGAAAGGGAATGAGAATAGAATTTCTGCTAAGGAAGTCGTTAAGCAAAGGTATGCAGAAAGTTACAAGTTTTTAGACGAGTTTTTCAAAAGTTTACCTAAACTTCCTTCTCATTATTGTCGGCGCGATACTTCAAAGCTGTATTTGGAATACACTTTTCAAAATATGAACCAGTTATATGAAGTGTATGTGAATAATTTTTGCAAAGACAGAAACATCACTCCATTGGGTCGTAATGTGTTTTCAAAAACGTTTAAAGAAAAAAACTTGGCGCTATACTCACCGAAAAAGGATCAGTGTAATGTTTGTTTTTCATTCAAATATGGAAATGTCACAGAAAATGAATACAGGCATCACATCCTAAGGAAAGATGCTGCTAGAATGGAAAAACAAAAAGATAAAGAAAAAGCTGAGAAAGATGAAATTATTACATTGACTATGGATTTACAGGCAGTAAAACTATGCCCATATCTTCCGGCGAACAAAATTTACTTCAAAACAAAACTATGTTGCCATAACTTCACCATATTTGATTTAAAAACACGAAACGTTATGTGCTATTGGTTTTCCGAAAATGAAAATAGATTACTTAAAGCATCTACTTTTACCACCTGCATTATAGACTATTTGGAAGAAAATTGCATAACTCCAATGAAAAAGCCAATTGTATTGTATTCGGACGGATGTGGTTACCAGAATCGTAACAATGTCTTGGCCAACGCTTTACTCAATTTTGCAATGAAACACGAAACTTTTATTTTTCAAAAATACTTAGAACCAGGTCACACCCAAATGGAGTGTGACTCTGTACATAGTGTGATAGAAAGACGTCTTAAGCACAAAGAAATTCATTTACCAAGTGACTATGTGACAATATCAAAAGAAGCTCGAAAAACCTCCACGCCATATAAAACTAAAATGCTGGAGTACTCATTTTTTAAGGATTATTCCGCTTCCAAATTTTTGCGATACACTTCTTTAAGACCAGGTCGTAAGACTTCTGACCCTGTGATTAATGATATTAAGTGCATTAGGTATAATCCACAAGGAACCATAGATATTAAACTGGATTATGGCCAAGATTTATTTAATGAGCTTCCTTGCAGGCCAAAATGTATGCCTCCTATTATGAACTATCCTCAGTTACTGCAGGGGCCTTCTAAAATTGCTTTGGATAAATGGAACCACCTTCAAGAACTTAAACTCGTTCTGCCAAAAGACACACATGCTTTCTACGATAATATTTTACATGAATAATTCTCCTCGCCAATTTATTTTTTTTAGTGATTATGAAACTTGCAGCTAGTTTTAGTTTATTTTATTCATGTTTATGTTTACATTAAAGTATTGTTTTAAAGTTTATTACCATGTATTAATTTTCCCTTGAGAAACCTACGTTTTGGGTATCATTTTTCTACAAAAATTTCTGTATAAGCTTGCTAAATTCAAAAAATTGTTGTATACTTAATTAGATACTGCATTCTCCTATCAGAACAAATTTCTGTAGCAAAAACTCCTATCTGTAAAAACATGAATAGCAATACCTCACAAGTTATATAAAAATAACACCGGGTAAGATTGTGGCGTTTTTATTAAATTTAGTATAATATAATAAACATTAAAGAATAACTACTTCACATTGTTGAAAAATACCATCTCTCTACAAAATTGACAAGTTTTTTTTGTCTCCTGTAAAACGTCTCTTAACCAACATAGGAGGTATTGCCAGGTCACCCGCGTTATGTCGTATATTTAATTAATAATAAAATATTTTACTAAATTTACCGTTTATTATTTCAACAAATCAGTTCGCAAATCTAACAGAACCTAATTTCAGCAACAACTTTCCTACTGAAGTTAATTCAACAAACTAATTCTGTAAGTGTAGCAAATCGGTACATTCAGACCAACAGAACAGTTTAATAACAGTTCCAGTATAGAATGGTTATTATAACAAATAAAATAGTTAAAATAGCACTGCGATTTGTAGAAAATGCAATGTGTGTACATTGCGTGTAGCAAAATAGTTTATTAAAATCAAGTTATCGATTTGTAGGAACAGCAAAACTGAATTTGTTGTATTTTCTAAACCTACAGGATAGTTTTGTAAAACTAACAAAACATGACTTGTAGGTTTAAGTAGCGAGTGTGTTCAATCCAACGAAACGCGAATTTGTTTTTACAAAAGACTATTTTGCAGAAAGTAAAGGTGTTTTGTTGATTTTACAAATTACCATGTACCAGAATAGTTTTGTTGAAATAACGTAATTTGTTGCTGTCCCTCAGGTAACCAGAATTTTCGGTAAATGTAACAGTATTCGTGCTAAATCAACATTTTTTTTTCTCAGTGTGTTTTGCATCGATTTGCTTAGGTTTTAGAGCGGTATATGTTGCGCATTTTTAATAAAAATGCAATTTTTTTGGCGGTATCTACGTTTTTCATACAAAACGCTATGCTATTTAGCGCTAAGTGACAAACAAAAAGGTTCTTTGACGGTATCTACTGCACTTGCCGCCAATATACCCTAACATTTTGCACTTACCGCTAATATGCCTTGACAAATGGCGCCATTGTATGTAGAAGCCGCTAAATGGCCTAGTATTCTTAGTAATACAAAGTAAACAAATACTTCACCTTTATTCTTTTGCCTTTTATTTGATGACTGGTGCTTGCGGTGGTGTTACAAGCCAACTCAGTGTCAAGAGTAATTTCATGTAAAAAATAGTGTTTGATCGGTTGTAAATAAATTCATAGTTATGGCATTACGTAGATCTCACAAAATTTTAGAACGGGCTTTATTGCTTGATAAATCTCAAGAACAGTTAAATAGTGAAAACCGCGGTGTCGTGGTAAATGTGGTGGTACCTAAACGTAATTTACTTCAAGAAATGATTGGCGAAGACGGTAAGATTTTTTAGTTTGTCGCAATTATCGCAAATAATTTTTTCCTTTTAGAAATATTTCAAAATATATTACATGAAGTAGTGCCTGATAATAACGTCAATGAAGTAGAGCCTATTTGTAATGTAATAGCTCAAGGAGAATTACAGCAAATTGAAGATATAATTAGCGAGGAAGGTAAGAACTTCTTTAATATATTGTTTCAATTTTTTCAATATCCTTTTTTCAGGGGCATTTCAAGATTTTGTTGTCTTGGACGATATGACTTTTAGGCCAGTCAAAATCGACACAAAAAATCGCTAAATTCGCAAAATATGATGTATCTTTGATTACTATTAAAGCCAAAGGGGATGTAACTCATTATTAAGGAATGGTGTCCGAACATTTATGTGTCACTTTAAATTCTAATTTTATGGTGTTTTGTGTTATTTGACATTTGTAACAGTTACTAAATATGTTTAATTTATAACTATAGTAAGAAAAAAATAATAAAATAACATACAATGATTTTAAGTTACAATATTTTGAGTGTCCGAACATTTTTGTGTTAGGGCTCGTATTAGGTATGTATACAATGATATCATTGCGGCACCTTCCTACGACTTACTCAACTTTGATTTGTGCCTTAAATTAAATCTATGAAATTGTTGGATATTTAAAATTGACTCTATGCAGCAAAAAAATTGATTTGACACATTGCTTTTTTATTTCCACACCAAAAAAACAAAAGATAAAAAGTTTGTGGAACATTTCTGGAAAAATACAATTTTACCTTATGTCGGTTTTTTTGAGATCTAGAGAGAACTACGAGACCTGCAGACCCCACTTTACGCTTAACTTAAAGCTAATTAAATTATCTACAACGTCTATTTTATAAGTTCTACTCGTAGGATCAATAGTTTAGCCGCAATTTCCATCTAAAGAAGGTGTAAAACTCAAATGTTCACTTTTTGGAAAAGTGCCGTAATTCGGTAACTAATTGACCTACAGAGCTCGGGTTAGGCGCAAATTGTTATACATTTAATACTCTTCAAAAACGTATATAGTGACTTTCGTCGAAAAATGTATAGTTAAGGAAATATAACGCAAACACTGTAAAAAGTCCGAAAATGTCGCGGTTTTTCGTATACTACACTTTTTCCACAACTTTTAGAGAGTTGCAAACTTGAGTATACACTACTCTAATGGGTCCAAACAACATACTAAAAAATCAGAGATACATCCATGTTTTGTTGATTTATTGTCGATTTTGACTGGCCTATTTGGAGAAAGTACAAGAAGAAACGGAAATGGGGAGTGCTCCGCAGCTTGCACAAGTGCAAGGTTTGTTAAACATTAGTTTGCGTTAATTTAAAGTTTTAATTACAATTACTTGTCTTTTAGGTAACAATAACAATCAAGCCGAAAATATTCAGGAAGATATAGTGGAACTACAAGGAATAGATGCGAAGACGACTGACAGCTCCAGTGATGAATCCGTTAATGCCATCGAAACAGAATTTACAAGAAAAGGAGAAAAAAGGAAGAGAAGAAATTTAAGTATACCCCCTCACAACGTAAAGCTAAACAACTTAAAACGATTTAAAAAAAACATATCGTTAGAGAGCCATGCAACAACTCTTGTAAGAAACAATGCACGACTAAAATTAGTCAAGACGTGAGGAAACAAATCAATTCACAATTTTGGAGCATGAATAAACATGATCAAAGGAGTTTTGTAATAGGGTTAGTGCAAAAAGTGGGTGTAAAAAGAAGAACTGTTGGGTCAGATTCTAGAAAAATCTTTACCAATAATTACTTCTTAAAAGATGAAAATGGTCAGTCTTGGGGTGTATGTCGAACTTTCCTTCTAACGACGCTAGGTTTTCATCGAAATAATGACAAGATACTGGAGAACATGCTTGATCCAAAAATTTCGGTAATTTCTCCAAGAAGAGACAAAAGATTTGGCAGAATTCCCCCAAACATAAAAGATCATCAAATAATAATTGACCACATAGAATCTTTGGTTGTTATTATCGTGTCCTATATAAATTTACATAACATTAATTTATATTACAGTATGTGCAATTTTCAGTCGTCCCCGAACAGGTGCTGGATCAGTTGCTTCCGATGACGGTCGCGTACGATGAACCGGCGGGGATCGTTAGGCGCTACGGTTCCGGGGTCGATGTTGCCGTAGGAAACTGCTCGATGTGCTGTAGCTTCCAGGCGCGTTGTGGTTTCGTCGGGCTAGGCGGTAGCGGCGAAACGGGTGTCGGAAATGGGCTCCTCTGGAAGAAACGGCGGATCTCGTTTCGTCGCTGGCGTTTCACCTTCCTGGGCGTCGTAGGTGGCATGGGCGCGACGTACTGTCCGCGGTGGCTGCTGGTAGGAATGCCGGGCTCGGTGAACGCCGGCTGGGGTAACCTGATTGTGTTTACCGGGCTCGGTGAACGGCGGTTGGTGAGGCAGGCTATTATGAACACTGCCAAAAATTGAATACTGGCTATGAGACAACACAGTATTAGTGAGATGACCGCTATAAGGAAACAGGTGCATCTGATTTATTCTCAATCAATCAATCAATCAAAATACGTTTATTATCATCTTACAGGTATATGATACATTAATTGTTAGTATTAGATGAATGGCGGACTGCTCAGGACTTGTGTCCTCTTCAGCCCTTGGTTAGTACGTGATGTATGAAATGTATTTACAATGCATGCTATTTGTCTATGCTATACTGTGCAGGTATCGGCTCGTGTCCTTGGTGCATTGCGCGTCGTCGTTGTCGAGGGGGTGGTAGAGTTCGCGGTCGGTTCTCGTTCGGTGTAGGATTGGTGAGGGTGGTGTTGTTGGTGTTGGATTCCGGTACGTGTGTCCTTATCTGAAAAAGAAAAAAAAAGAAGGCAGTAAATGTTTCTTTTTGGTTTTTTAGTATGGTTTGCGTTACCGGATGGTGTAAGGGGCGTTGTCAAGGAGCTCTTCGAATTCCTGGGGTAGGTCTTCGAGTAGTTGGGTTAGGAGTACGGGAGGGAATTTGAATTTCCTTTTGGGTTTTCGGGGAAGGGGACCTCCTGTGGCGGATTTATTGCAGGGGATCTTTAGGATATCTTTGGTGGGCTGGGTGTCGCCGTGGACCCTGCGCTGTGCAAATCTTGTTTGTAGGGATGCGAGTCTGTGTGTGATAGGTTGTATGTTTGCGTGTTCGATGGTAAGGTCGGAAGGGTGGCGTGGATCGAGTCTGTGTATTTTCCGTAAGATATTGCGTTCGCAGGCGGCGATTTGGTGTCGTTGACTAGAGGAGAGGGTGCTAGTAGGGGAGCTAACACGAAACCCACTGAACGAGGAATGATCAAAATTTTAACCGATGGTGTTCCATTTTGCCCTATCCAGAGTATGCTAAAATCGATCGTCTGCCGCCTCAGGTCATACGACTTAAGGCGCTGCGGGTACTTCTTGCGGTACCAATTCTGAAAGGTTTTTCGAAAAAATAAGTTATACACCAAATGAAAACGTTGATAATAGCTCTTAAAAAAATATTTAAAAAAATCGTGCGCATTTGATAACTCCGTAAAAAAACAATTCTTAGTCGGTTTTTCACGAACTTTCTACGGATATAACTAGGTTACCGTTGGAAGAATGAAGCTGATTTTTTTTACAGACTAATGATAGGTACTACTAATGACTTAACGGTGTTTCGTTTTTAAATTTTGTCTCTAATTACAAGATTATCTTATTAGCTTAACATTATAAGATATCTTATAATTAGAGAAAAAATTTAAAAAAGAAACACTCTCGTAGTCATTGGCTGTACCTATCATTAGTCTGTAAAAAAAAAAAAAACATTCTTCCAACAGTAACCTAGTTATATCCGTACAAAGTTCATGAAAAACCGATTAAGAATTGTTTTTTACGGAGTTATCAAATGTGCGGGATTTTTTTAAATATTTTTTTAAGAGCTATTATCAACGTTTTCATTTGGTGTATAACTTATTTTTTCGAAAAACAACCTTTCAGAATTGGTACCACAAGAAGTACCCGCAGCGCCTTAAGTCGTATGACCTGAGGCGATCGATTTTAGCATACTCTGATAGGGCAAAATGGAACACCATCGGTTAAAATTTTGATCATTCTCGTTCAGTGGATTTCGTGTTAGCTCCCCTACTATGCAGTACAGGGGGGCTCGGTAATCGATGAGTGGTCTGATGTACGTTTTGTAAGTGTGTTGGAGCGTTCTAGGGTCACATCCGTTGATGCGACCCCGAAGGGCGCTCAGTAGTTGTGTGCGTTTCCTAACTTTGTCTAGTGTGAGCGTTAGGTCGTGGTTCCAATTCAACGTACTTGTGAGATGAACTCCTAAGTACTTGATTCGGTTTGTGAGCTGTAGCGGTGTGTTGTTCAGGTGTAGGTGAACGTCTTCGTGTTGTTGTCGTGGGTTTTTACTGTAGTCGGGGTGTCTGAAGAGTATTGTTTGTGTTTTCTCGGGATTTAACTGGATTCTCCAGCGATTGGCCCATGTCGTGTATCGTGTGAGAGTGTCGTTCAGTGTGCGTGTGGCTCTTGTGCTGGTGCGGTCTGTTGTCCAAAAGGCAGTGTCATCTGCGAATAGTGTACAACTGGTTTTGGCGTTGCCTGGTTGTGGTGTGTCGTTAGTATATATGATGTAAAGAAGGGGAGCGAGAGGTGAGCCTTGGGGAACCCCTGCGAGGGGTGTGAATGGATCGGATAGTTCTCTGGCAACTTTTACTCTGGCAGTTCGATTGGAAAGGTATGATAGCAGGAATTTGGTCATTTTATCGTGGATATTCAGGGAGCGGAGCTTGTGGATTAGTCCGGCGTGCCAGACAGAGTCGAAGGCTTGTTTGATATCTAGGAAAATTGCGAGAGTGCAGTTGCCGTTGTTGAAGGATCTGACAATCTCTGATTGCAGTTTAAGGAGAGGATCTTGGGTGCATCTAAGGGGTCTGAAACCAAACTGTGCGGGAGGTAGGAGATTGCTAGTCTCCAGATGGTGTCTTAATCGTTGGGCCATAATTTGTTCGAGGGTTTTTCCGATGCAGTTTAAGAGAGATATGGGTCGGTAAGAGGATGCTCTGGTGGTATCTGCTTGTGGTTTTGGGATCATGACTATGGATGAGGATTTCCAGGGTGCTGGAAAGTATGGGAGTTGGATGCAGCGGTTGTAGATGGTGGATAGCAATGTGATTGCGGAGGGAGGAAGGTGGCGTAGTATCAGTCTGTTTATGTTGTCCGGTCCGGGTGCTGAATTGCATCCACTTTTGATAGTGTCGACAATTGTTTGGGGGGGGTATTGGCTGAAGGAGGGGATCGTCAGGAGGTTGTTGAGGGACGTCTTGATCCCGAAAA